TTGTACCTAGGGAAGGTGTTAGCATCCTAAGTATCTATACTAATCTACAGGAACCTCTTATCTTATTGTGTTATTTGTCATTTTGTTTGCTAAAAGGTGAAAAGGTAAAGGGATACCTAAGGTGTTATTTCTAAGTATGCTCGCCAAGACATCGCATCTCGTGCCTATGTATCCTTATAGGAATGGAATCAGAGCATGCACAGTTCTCCTTAATAAGGGTGAGGAACTCTTGACTATGGTCAAGGTTCTAGGGGGGAGAGGTAAGTATCTATGGCAGAACACCTACATAGAGTTAAGAAACTCTAAACCTAAGGTTAGGTTGAAAGGGAGGTAACTATTTTTATTAAGCTTTCTGAAATAGATTAGAAATATGATTCAACTATTTTTGTATTTTTGAGAAAAGAAAGAGATTTTAGTTTTAAGAAAAGAAATACTCGATAAAAGATCGAGGTTTGAATTTCTGTGATGGCGATTGCAAAAGGCAACCGACTTATGAGGGAAGTAACCACTTGACATTGGATCAAGGGTTTGAGAAAAAGTTAGGTCGATTCCTAGTCCCTAAGGGTTCTCCTTGTAAACGAAACCACAACTAAAGGAAAGGTTCAAGTGTGTGCATAAGGTTGATGGCAATTCTAAAAAACAGTCGACTTACAAGTTAGGGTATGACTTGATATATGAATCAAGAATGTTTTGGGTTTAGTATGAAAATGGTTTGAGCGTGTAAGTGAGAGATGGATAAAATATTAAAATACAATCAAGATGAAAGCGATAAAATGCTTACACTTAATCGGAACGGGGTACATTTTGTCGGATGAGGATGAAATTAAAAAATTATACGTAAACACAATTAAAGAAATAAGCGCAAGTACGAAAATAAAATGAGCTCGTTGGTTTTGACTTGAGAAAAAATGTCTCGACGTTGGATCGCGTATTTATTATTTTTTTCTTTTATTTTTTTATAAAAAAGAGTTAATTTTATGTTTTTTTTGTTGTATTTTATCTATTATTCAATTAATTACTTTTTCTAACTAATGGAAAATAAAACCAATAATGATAATTAAACAATCACAAACAAAACAATAAATAATAAAATTAGACAATCCACATAAATCTATATAAACAAAGTAAAAGAAAATCAATCACAAACATTAAGATAAAATATTTGTTATATTTTTTTAAAACTCTGTCATTTTTTTATTTAAAAAAAGTTTTGTTTTGACAAAAAGAGAAAAAATATTTCTAAACACTTAACATATTAATAAAAAAAGTTCTAAAGAGTAAAACAAGCAAAATCAATAAAACGTTTTTATGAACATAAAACAAAAGGGATAAGAGAAAGCTACCACAAACAGAGGTTGAACGATGCCGAAGGTGTGCATGATTGCAGATGTTTTGGTTTGTTATGTAGAGACTTTCATGGTGCTTTGCGAATTTGTTATGAGCTTGAAAGAAAAAGGGCTTTGTTGTTGTTATTCATGAGCTTGTCTGAAGATGAAGTATGACCTCTCTTTTGTTTTTATATTTTGTTTTAACGTGAAAGAGAGAGAGATCAATGAGGGGACAAAGGTTATCTCTTTTTTTTTGTCCCCTTTGTTTTTTCTAATGCATATATATAGGACTAGAAAATACACACGAATGATAATAACAATTAACACAATATTTTTTTTGTTTTTTTTATAATAAGACAAGAATAAAAGGAATTAAAAATCATGTTTTTTTGTTTTTTATGATAAGACAAGAATAAAAGGAATTAAAAATCATGTTTTTTTTTGTTTTTTAGGATAAGACAAGAATAAAAAGAAATAAAAGTTTATGTTTTTGTGCTTTTTTAAAAGAAAATATTAATAAACAAATTAAAAATGAAATTAATTAATAAAAATAAAATTAAAAATTAAATATCTAATTAAATATAAATAACTTAAATGATTATTTAAATAAAAATGATTAAAAAGTGAAATAAAAAGCCGGGCAGAAAAGTGCTCAAAAAAATAAAACAAACACACCAAAATAATCAGCGCGAAATAAACATATTAGAAAAATACAGCGTTTGGTCAGATTTTGAAATAAATTTAGACCAATTTGTCTGTAAATCCAACAAATTTATTTTGACTGATATTTCAGACACTATGCAAGATGAAATGCATGTTATGCTATGCAGATGATGCAAAACAGAATCTTAGGATCAAAAATTAGGGTATGGCACATCTCATATCAAAAATTAGGCTATGCATATTGTTGCCTTAGAATCTTATGTTTATGTTCTTTTTCTTTTTTCCATTTGGACCAAAAACATTAATAAAAGCTTAAACCCCTAAAAAAACGTTTTCTCTTAATGATGGACTATGGTTACTATCCTTTGCATTGGACTAAAACCATGGACCTCTTGGATTGTTCTTGGACCCTTGGACTTAGAATTAGGTATTTTTCCCTATGCTTGGAGTATTATGGATCTTTGCCTTTATTTGGCTTGCTCACTTACTTATGCTTCAACATTGACGAAATACTTATTTTGCTAGCTATGAAGTATGCACAATTTGGTTAGATCCTTCTTATCTATAACTTTTATTTTGCTTTCTAGGGTAGTTATTTCATCTCCTCCCCTTCTTAAATTTTCAAAATCTTCTCCCTTTTTCAAAAAAAAAAAAAACCTTCTTGCTTTCAAACCTCAAACTGCTTTCACAATAAAACCTTGACTTTTGTCAAGTGACTTTTGAACTTTGTTTTCCTTAATAAATATCAATCAATGTTAATCATATTTTGACCAATTTCAAAAAGATATAAAAAACACTTCACCTCATTCAAACTTTTTATGCCTTTGTGCACTTTTCATTTTAAAACTTTTCATAAAGTTTAGACATGAGTCATTTCCATAGTTGAGATATAATTCTCATATTACCCATAGTAATTAAGATGTTAACATTTTCTACTTAGATGTTGAATGATAGACTTGTTGATTTTAATCCAAGCAAAATCCTCCATCTTTAGGTGATGCAAATGTTGTCTTATACTTGTGGACGACTAGTCGTAGTTTTCTCCTTAAAATGACAACTTGTCTTTACATTTAAAATCAATCAAAACCAATAAATTTTTGTTATTTGTACCATGAAGTATGGGGTTTTGATCCTATATTGCACTTTGTAGGTACGTAGGCGTGAGGCGATAAGTCTCTCCAAAAACAATAATTTTAAAAAAAATAATTCTCTCCTCGTCTCCTCAATCTCTTTTCAAACAAAACTTTTTCAAACCAAAAAGCGTAGATATTTCAAAGGGCTCCAATAGAGTACTATAGACGTTTTGGATGCTAACACATTCCCATCACGTAACCAACCCCCTTACCCAGACACTATTATTTATTCTTGTTTTAGAATTTGTTTAGGTTTTGTTCGCTCGTTTTCCTTTCCTTTTGAATAAGATAAAAGTGTGGTGGCGACTCTTACATTTTGAGTTAAGTTAATCAATAGCTTACACTCACAAATTTCCCTGCTACAGTAAGATCACAATATAGATATCTTAAAATCAGTAAACTATTGCAATGCTTGCAATATCACAACAATCTCCGGCAACTGCGCCATTTTGTTCGAATTGTTAGTTAAATGGGGGGTTTTGTTATCGTCTCCACAGGGATTGTCCGATATCTTGATGTTTTCCTTTCAACAGTTTATAGTTATAAGAAAAAGGTTTTCAAATTTTGGTTCATAAATTGTCACGATTTTTAGTAGCAAAGCTGATAAATTTTAAAGTGTTTGATTAACAAGATATATCAAAAGTAGTTTTCATCAACCCTAACTTATACGTATTCTTTTAATCTTGCATGTGAAGGTGGACCCAATTAATATCATCGCGTATTCTCTCAACATCGTCTATCTCTAGAGCGGCGCTGTGAGAAATATTGTATTTATTGCTACACGATCTCTCCATATAACAACCAATATAGTAAACTTTAAGTTTAATACAAAGCGAATATCAACCATAGACCGATCTCTCCAATTTATAAATTGATAGATCAATATTTTAGGTCAAGTTCCATAAAATCTATGTCTAGAGTTTTACAGAACAAGAATGGATCATTAAGAACAAAAATATTCATCATATATTAATCATCACTTGTTCACATACAAGGCCAATCAAAAGAAATACATAAAGCTAAGGTAGACTACCTCTACCTTTGATACAAAAGAAATTAGCTACCCATAACCATGGTAGCTTGCTTTTTAAGTAAAGAGAGGAGATGAATGAGCATCCACATCAAGTAATCGAACTTGGATGCGGATGCAGCTTCTATTTGTAAAATCTCCCTTTTTGGTGAAGAAATGCTGAAAATATAAGTCTCTATGTGAAAAATGAGTTCTTATCCCCAAAAAGTGTGAAAAATACTTATATATAGTACAACTAGAATCTGCCAAGTTCTCCTAGCAAACTCACTCTTCACCCAGCGAACTCCACTTTATGGCACCTGAAGTGTCTCTGAATAGTTAAACCTCTCCTGAGAAAATATCTAAGTTCGCCTAGCGAACTATTCTTCACCCTGCGAGCTACTTCACTATATTTCGCACAGCGAACTTAGCGTCCTTTAGTTACTGCCTCAAAACTGGGGTGGTTCGTTGTCCCTATGATGAGACCTCCCCTAGAGAACATTTTCTTCATGTTCGCCCAGCCAACTTAGTGCTCTTTTCTTTTTGCCTCTAAATTGAGAGGGTTCGCAGGGGGCTTCGCTGACACTTCGCCCAACAAACATTCGCTGCTGAACCTTGTTGGCTGTTCGCCCAGCGAACATGCTAAAACTTCACATTTTCTTTGGCTTCCTTGTTAAATTACTTGTGTCGTACTTCTTTGATAGATTATGCCTAAATTTTGCACAATAACACACAAATCAAAACAACCAAAGATATTTGCACATAATTGAAGAATATCATGAAAACATGGAATAAATCCAATCAAAACATAAAAAATGTTATGAAAAATTCCAAATATATTAGATCAAATTAAAGCATGTTTGGCATTCAACAATTAGTAGTGTTAATCACCGCAAACTCCGTAGGCATATACCAAATAGACTTTGTATTTCCTAGTGTGCTTAAACACCAATTTTGCCGGGCAATAACTAGATTAAGAATCTATATTGTCAAATGAAAATGACATTAGATCAAAATTTTACATTAATAGAAATTTTTTAAATTCAAATCATATAAATATAACCTCTTGGTCAACAGGACAATAAGGCATCAGAGACTTCAGTGATGTCATGTCCCTAACTACATTTGATGTAGTTTTGACTAGAACCTCATTACTATAAAGAATAAATGTATGCACAGTCAAATTAAATTTGATAAATGAATTTACAATTTTGCTTTAGCATTTGTGTTAAAAATACATACCCGTATATTTGCTCTTTATCACGCATAAAGATGTATGCGGCAAGGTAAGCACATATTGAATTAAGATTCATCTAAGGGGTGGATCTAAACGTCATCGGCATCCACTGTCATTAAATACATATGATAAGAAAAACTTTAGTAAGTAATAAAGGGATAATACGTGGAGTATTGGGTTTTATTTAAAATAGTTAGTTAATACTTACTTGAGGAATATCAAATCCAAAATCGCAACCTTCATATCCAATATGACCTGATGGATGAAAGTTAAGGTAAAAATCAACGTCATCCGCTTCTCAGGATGATAGAACAGAGTTTTCTTGATCCTATTGTCCTGATTTTCTTCTAGCATTCCAATCCTCACTTTTGTAAAATTGGATTTAGGAGGGGCTGATGTTGTGCCCAGAGTAACTTTTGACTTGAAGGATTTTCTCTCGGTTGCTGCCCTTCTTTTAACCAATTTCTTTCGCTCCACTTTTGGTGTTGTAGTTGTGGAGTCATATTCTTTTGAATCGTTGTTGTCATGTAAGGTTGGGCTGGTAGTTTGGTGACTACCCAAACCTTTTAAGAAATTTGTTTAGTAATGAGTAAATATTTTAAACAATCCTTTTGAAGAAACTGTTACTAAAAACTTAGCGCGCGCACACACACAAAACTAATAGGAAGGTTTTCAAACCAGATTGTGATGTAGAAATCCAAAAAAACTTACACATTAAATATTTCCTTATGGCATGGAAAAATATTTCCTTCACGAATGCGGAGTGGTTTTCATACAGATTACTCATGTTGAACTGTAGTTTATCTCCAACTCTAATCTGTTGAATGGCTACAAACTCCCTCCAACCCCTTGAAAATCTCACTAGGTGTGGATACGTTTCATACTCCAATTCACAAAATTCTAATTCTGAATTTACCCCAACCAGAATCATTACATGCATGGTTGTATTCCCCAAGTATTCTCCCATGTCATCAAGTAATGACTGTAATATAATTGAACCAAAGTCAAAATTAATATAAGCTCGAAAAAAACAATAATTAACAAAAACAGAACTACTAAGTGAATTGAAAAACTAAACAAATAGGGAATGACTTAGGGATCCTCTGTCACAGTAAGGTTGAAGGTCGCAACTTTTCGTAGAGGTCGAGTTTTTGCATGCCAAGTAGGGAATGAGGCAGGAGTAATTGGTTCCATTATAGGAATGATGTGGAGTTGGTTTCTTCCCAAGTATCTGAAGAAAAGATTATGATGACCTTTAAATTGATAATGCTCTCTTAAAGTCATCCAACCATTTGTGATCCTACGGATTTCATCACCAGGGTTGAATTCAGGTTCGATCTCGCCCTCGACCTAACAATGCACATGTTGTTAAATAAACACAAACACATTTAACAGAACTAAAAACAACTTACACGATTTTGTAACCATATTCACAAACAAACAATGCTCTATTCGTTACTCAAATTTGCTAAATAAAAAAAAAGAATGAAAACCAGTGCAATTACCTATCCTTTGACATGTACCGTCATGAAGTGGCTCTTTCCGGGTCATCAAAGAATATCACGTAGAATCTCCATTATTTTTGTTTGTCTTATGTTGTAGATTGTGTGAAAAATGGAAAAAGTGAAGAGTGGTAATTGTTGTCAATGAAGTAACATTGAAATCAAAATGTCACAATGAGGAAATGCAAGAGTCACATGAAAAAGCCAGAATGATGGAGGTTTCTGATTTTGAGTTTTGTGCAGACAATAAATTCTGCATACATTGAATATAGTGAGGTGTGTGGCAAGGTAAAAAATGAAGACTATTACTAAGTCAAACATGTATAAAATCGTAGTGGGAGTATAGAATATCTAATATTACCTTTATTATATTTTACTATCAGAATTTATTTTTCATTCTAAATATACAATTTTTTAGTTTTTGTTTTAAACTATAACTTCTCCCCCACTTATATGATAGTTACATATCTCTTGCATTCTATTAACTACTACTGCTACTAACCTTTTATAAAAACTTAAATTAAAATTAAAATAGGAGTATAAAATATCCAATATTACCTTTATTAGATTTTATTATCAGAATTTATTTTTTGTTCCAAATATACACTTTTTCACATTTTGTTTTAAACTATAAATCCCCCACCACCACCACTTATATGACAGTTACATATCTCTTGCATTCCATTAACTGCTACTGCTACTAACCTTTTATAAAAACTTAAATTAAAATTAAAATAATGGCTACTATATAACTTATCCCCCACTTGACCAGGTTTCTCTACAGTAATAGCCACACGCATTCTCTGTAGTTATAGTAGCACACATTCTCTACAGTGATCATTTGATCAAGATCGAAAGGTCAAATTCATTTTGTATTTTTTAAGTTATAAATCAAAAATTATAATTTTTATTTTGTGGACCATCAGATTTTAATTCAACGGATATTAATGGCTTGAATGTGTGAATGTCCGGTATTTTCAAATGCAGGGAATTCAATTTCGACATTAATGGTTACCAGTAAGCTTGATATAGCATTGTCTAAATAATTACTCCTACCATTTCATAAAATACATGCTTTCCATAACACTTTAACCCTACCGAAGTGACTGCTCAATGTCACGTTTTTCAATGTTCTAAAATACACGTCATAATGTCTATTTGATGTGAAAACCTTGCATAGCAACTTGTACAAGATATCTGGTTTTGCAAATTATCTGGTTCTGTTATAAGTTATAACTATTGCTACCAAAGACAACATATGATAAAATTTTATGCTGATTTATACATGAATTTATTATTCTCTTTAGTCGAATTTCATATTCATCCCTCCTAAAACTTCCATGGCTTCTTTCGTCGAATATGATGAAACATTGCAAGTTTAAAAGATTAAGTAAAAAACATTGGAATCATAGCATAGAAGGGAAAAACAGTGAAAAACTTTCTGGTTTCTAACCTGGTTGATGATGAACGAGACATCGAGTATAGAAGGGAACATTGTTTACTCTTTCAAAAAATTTGCAGTAAAGAACGTTGTTTACTCTTTCAATTAAAAAAAATTGCCTATAAAATAATATAAAATATCAAGTGAGACCCATTATAAAACTTAAATGAGCTTGATGGATGTGGAAAGATGGAGTAATCTGATGTTACAATTCCCAAAAGGAGTTACAAGCAAAGCTACTTTTTGTAGCTTCTAAAGTTTTCACAGCAAACAAACATTGGGACGCGAGAAATGCATGCTACAGTGCTACAATGCTAGCCACTTTTAACAAAAGAAACCAAACGACATGCAAGGCCAAATCTTGGTATGACTATTCAGTTTTTTTTTTTTTATATTTAACTCAATTTTAAGTTCATAAATTGAAAAAAAATTACTTCCAGAAATGTAATATAAATTTAAATGATTTTCTAAAATTAAAAATAAAATCTTGTGTTACATATAGTTAAAATATATTTCATTAATTATATTTTAGAAATAAAAATTGAGCCGTAATAAAATTCTGAGCAACTAACCTTGAATATTTATTTTATTTTTGTTTTATTTTTTTTTCCAAGGTTGTCTCAAGCAAATTAAAGTCCGTGTTCGAATTTTTAAAAAAATGCTTCATAATAAAGAGAAATAAAGTCAATAATAATTTTTATATTCAAATTATAAACAACATTAAAAACTAAAATATAAGTATTTCAATAGAGTCTAAAAACTTTAAGACATAATAGGAAAAACCTCAAAATTTTATTGAAATTGATATATAAACATAAAGGAATTTGATTCATAGTAGAACCTTTCCGTTGACTTTGATCATAGAATTTGATTCATAATAGATCCTTTCCGTTGACTTTGACATTGGACTTTGACTCGTAATAGATCTTAGACTTTGATTCATAGTAGAACCTATGTTGACTTTGATCATAGAATTTTTTTCATAGTTGAACCTTTTATTTGACTTTGATCATAGAATTTTATTCATAGTTGAATCTTTTATTTGACTTCGATCATATAATTTCATTCATAATAGATACTTTCATCTGACTTTGACCTTGAACATTGATTCACAGTAGATATTAGACTTTGATTCATAGTAGAACCTATGTTGACTTTGATCATAGAATTTGATTCATAGAACCTTTCCGTTGACTTGGTAATAGAATTTAATTCATAGTAGATCCTTTCAGTTGACTTTAACCTTGGACTTTGATTCATAGTAGAACCTTTCTGTTGACTTTGATCATAAATTGTGATTCATAGTAGATACTTTCACTTGAATTTGACCTTGGACTTTCATACATATTAGATCTTAGACTTTGATTCATAGTAGAACCTATATTGACTTTGATCATAGAATTTGATTCATAGGAGTAGAACCTTTATGTTGACTTTGATCATAGAAATTAATTCATAGTAGATCTTAGATTTTGGTTCATAGTATAACCATTCAGTTGACTTTGATAATAGAATTTGATTCATAAAAGAACCTTTCGCTTGACTTTGACCTTGGAATTTGATTCATATTAAATCTTAAAATTTGATTCATAGTAGAACCTATGGTAACTTTCATCATAGAATTTGATTCATACTAGAACCTGTCCATTAACTTTGATCATAGAATTTGATTCATAGTAAATCTTAGACTTTGATTCATAGTAGAACCTTTCTATTGACTTTGACCATAGAATTTGATTCATATTAGATCATTTTAGTTGACTTTAACCTTGGACTTAGATTCATAGTAGATCTTAGACTTTGATTTATAGTTTAACCTATGTTGACTTGAATCATAGGATTTGATTCATAGGAGTAGAACCTTTCTATTGACTTTGATCATAAAATTTTATTCAGAGTAAATCTTAGACTTTCATTCATAGTAGAACCTTTCAATTGACTTTAACCTTGGAATATCATTCATAGTAGAACATTTTTGTTGACTTTGATCATAGAATTTGATTCATAGTAGATCCTTTTAGTTGACTTTGACCTTAGACTTTGATTCATATTAGATCTTCGACTTTGATTCATAGTAGAACCTATCTT